ATTGTTACTAGAGTCTTACCCTTCACTGCTTCTTTTATGAGGCTGAGCTCTTGCTGGATGTCCTTAAAACATTGCTCTCAATATTGTTCCATTCTTTCTTGTTGGAAAGGGAGAAAATTATTTTTCTCGATCCCAATATCTTGACTATGTGCCTCTTCATTGTCACCAACCCTGGGGGGTGGATGAGGAGCCCGACTCTTTTCACCTCCTTCTTCTGCTTCTCTGAGAGGGTAGAGGTGTTGCTGCCCCTTGCGGGGGGGATCGTTCTGGCCTTGCTGAGTCGGTTGTGCTTGCTGAGGACCTTGTAAAAGCTTCAGGAGGTCTTTATTATGTCGAAATAAGCGCTGGTTGGCCTGACGGAGGGCTTCATTATTTGTTGGAGGATCTGCTACAGGGGGATTATCCTCGGCCGTAGGCATGAAGTCATGAAGATTTTCTTGCTAATTCTGCATCCTTAGGGAATTTGTCTGGCTTCTGCTCATGTTACGCGTGGAAATCATCAATTACTGAAAGATCAGTGTACTTGTAACAGGAACAGTCGTTTCCACAGACGGCACCAAACTAATGATGTATGATCACGTTGATGAGCAAAAAGTGTAGATAACGTGTGATGAGCGTGGATCAAAGTTACAAGGCTAGTGTGTGATGTTGCGGCGAAATACTGAAGGGATTAGAGGGGTGCACACAATGAAAATATAGTGGTTCACCGGTTCAGGAGCTTGGCTAGTTCACTCTTCAATGGAGGTTCTTCCTCTTTTTTCTCTATTGATTGCTGGAATGCGTTACAGTACAACGTATCTTGAAATTAGGGTTTCTCTAGCCTTCCCCCTTGATGGAGGCGTTATATTGTATTTATAAGGCTATTCCCTGTTCTGTAGGATCTCAGTCAAGATCTTCGGTTGTCATTAGTTGGATTCTCCTTGATTTTATGGGAGAATCTTGGTTGGTTGAGAGTTTCATGTTTCGTAACTCAATTTTTGCAATTATCCAACTGTTCTCTGATCAGTTCCATTATCATCTTCCCAGGGCGAGCTCTAGCTCTGACTTCTGAGCTCTTCGTATCCTACCTGACCTCCTGAGCTCGCTCTTATAACTTATTTGAGGTATCATTAGTTTGAAATATTTTTTCTTCATTTTCCCCTTATTTTTGTGGCATCTTCAAGCTTCAGATGAATTTTTTCTTCTTCCTCTTTGCGGTACGTTTCTGTAGTTTATAAGTTCTACACTCTACCCTTTTAAGGTCTTTGAACATTTGTAAGGAGATGGAACATGATGCCATGTTACATGGGCCCATCAATGGAGGTCTCAAGTCTGAGAGATTATTCTCAGCAATCATTTTTCAGTCTACTGATTTAAAGAGTTTAATGGATGCTTGAGTAGATGGGAATCATACATTAGATGCGGTGCTTCCATCCTAGTTTTTGTATATGAATATGACATGGAATGGTTGATGGTTTTTCCATTTTGGCTATAGGCTCTGTTAAATTGTGAGTACACTGCATGTTGTATTGTGAGGCATGATTTCAAATTTCAGTTAAAAAAATTAGAAAAAAATTTGTCAAATAAGATCCAACTTGTGCATGAGGAGCAGTTATGAGAATCGAAGTTTGAAACATTGAATAAGTTATGGTTAGTATGTTGGATTTTGGTTTTATTTTTATTGGTTTTTCTATGACATAAAGTAGGCTATAATTTCATGCTCTATATCAGTATAATGATATTATATTCCCGCAAGCCAACTTTTTATTTTCTCTCTTCCACAAACTCCATTTTACATTTTTTTCTCTTGATAGATTTGCCTGGTTTGACGAAAGTGGCTGGTTGGTATTTACTTTAACTTTAATATTGTAAACTCAAGCGCAGGTTGAGCGAAGTAAGGAATTGTAACAAGAAAGTAATCTCACAAATACTAAAACAAACTTAAATATAAATTATTTGTTTAGGGAATTGTTGAGTGAAAAAAAATTGATTTAAATAATTAAAACAGTAATATAAAAAATACTAGGGTATCATGTACTCTCTCTCAATTCCATACAATAATGATTAAAAACTCAAATCTTAACTTGAGACAAGAATCAGATGTCGGTTGATTTGAGTAACAAATCAAGTAAGAAAACTAAAAGTGATAATCAAAAGATTATTCAGGAACCTGAATAATCATTCACTTATATTATTTTAAAAAATAATGATAATTACCTCAAGCATGAAATAATCAGTTATTTACTCGCAGGGAAATTTAGGCAATCGATGTACATGGAACAACGACTCAAGGTTTTTTACAGAGCAAAAATTTTACTATAAGATCAGAAGTTAAATTAACAAAATATTATAAATCATTAAACTCAGAATTAATAACATTACTGTACTTCATTGAGAGGTTCTCTCCTAGCCTTAGCTTAATATTCTAGCCAGACATAATAAATTAAAATTAAAATGAAAAAATGAAAAAAAGAATAATCCTAATATCTAAATGAGAACCCTTATTTATAATAAAAATAAATCCTAAGTACAGGTTGAAAGGAATTCTTTTCCAAAAAAGAAGTCTTGTAAGGTTCAATCCCGTGTATAAAATCTTTGAGACGCGGGTACAAAATCTGTCCAGACTTTGAGGTTGAATCACGAAAATTTTGTGAAATACACTTTTGTAGCTCTTGAAGTCTTATTTTTAACTCCCAAAAATTAAGTAAATCGGATATTATAGTCAAAAGTTATGACCAAGAAGATGTGTCAAATCTTTATCTTCTAGGATACTTTCCTAATCCAACTCTGAATGAGTTTTTTTTTTAACTTTGACTCTTATAAGGATTAAATTGTTGTCATATTTTCAAGTTTTCCTATTTCAATTTTAACTCTTCAATCCTTATTAATTGTGATTCTTCCTCTAGTGATTGTTTCACTTGCATTATCCATTATTACTTTAAAGCAACCAATTTACCTGTAAAATAAACCAAACAACTAGAAAAAGTATCAAAATAAAAAATCAAAAAATTTAACACATTTAATTATAAATAATATATAATTAATCAATCATTAAATATAATAAAATAACAATTTTGATGGTTAATCAATATCCCTTATTGACATGAATCAGATTATATTTCGTTATAGTAGGCGTAGACGTAAGGATTAGGAGTTATTTGTCGAGAAACTCTGAAATCTGGAATGGAATCCCATGGATCACACTTTTCCTGTCAATTATATGGAACATCTAGAAGGACAGAAATGCATTGAGAACGTGATCACCCCGCGATACATAATGGCAAAGAATGCCATACAACTAGCCCGGGAAATTGCTCACGCTTTTGAGAACTTGGATCACCAGATCTCTAACAATCACCTAAACTTATTTCTTGGGTTTCTTTTTCCTCCCCCAGATTAGTGCAAACTTAACACATTACAAGAAAAAAGGGCATGTTGCTTCAGTTTTTTTTTGCTTCGCTCCAATGCTGAAGTAAAAAATGGGTTTTTGCTTTAATTAGGAAAGATGAAACAAAAATGGGCTTTTTTGCCTCAACTGAATACCGAAACAAATACTTTATTTTTTGCATCGACATCAAGTAAAGAAGCAAAAAAGTCTTACATCTCAATCATTTGAAATCGGTTATATGAGTCTGTATTCATCATTCATTTCAGTCATGCATTATACGCTCATTTAAGATAAATATTTTTATATATTTTTTTATTATTTTATTCAATGTTAATTTAGGTCTACCCCTACGTCTAGTACCATTAAGAGAAATTATATCACTTTTTCTAACCGATGCCTCTATCGGTCTTCATTGAACATGACCAAACCATCTTAATTTATTCTCTCTCAACTTGTTTTCAATTGGAGCTACTCCTATCATTTCTCTAATCAATCATTTTGTGTTCTATTCTTTCTAGTTTTTCAACACATCCACCTTAATATTTTCATGTTAAGGTACTTTTATTAGTAGTATAGATATAGATAGATAGATTGTTAGCTGAAAATGTATAGTTTTTTTTTTTAATTTCTTAACCTAGTATTGTACGAAGTATTTTACAATTAAATAATTTTTTCATTAGAATGAATGTGGCAAATAAGACACCACCCGAAAGATGTGACACAAACACTAAATGGTTTAATTAGCACTCATACACTGCTTGTCTTATGCAACAAGTGGATAAAACGACAGTTAAATTTAACTCGGTTCATTTCATTTCAAAATCTCTCATCTCACCTTGAAAAATAGATTCTTGCTTGCTTTTGACATTTCATTTTAATTTCACCTATATTTCAAATGACAATACTCCTACAAAAATCTTCTAAGACATATATCGTCAGCACATACAACAAGATTACAAAGGACACCAAGTGGATGGACCCATTTGGAAAAATAATTGAAGGCATCGACTTGGGGTCTTAACTGTCCAATTTACATATCAGGGCAGCTAGGAGGAGAGCAATAAATTCTTTGATAAGGAGGCCCCCTACTCCTGTCCTTCAACATTAGGAGAATCTTCAATTGCACATTAATAAACACAATTTGAAACATGAATTCAATACGATTGGATATTTTATGAACTCGAAAATCTTGCAATCACTTAATTCAAATGATAAATGGTTTATGTTAGTGTTGATGCAAAAAATGGGGCGATCTCCACTTCAGTTCGTTGGACCTCAATCACATGAAAAAGAAGTTGGAGACCAGAGGAGAACTCTAAAGGTCGACCCTTTGATGTGCGCTTAAGTCAATAAAAGAGTCAACGATATTCAGTGCGTTAGAAAACTGAGAGTGGCATACTTGAGCCATTGATAGAAGCTGTATTTATAGGCTGTTTAGTGATAGAGTTGCACTAGGATTGGACTATGGCCTCCCAATTCTCGGGTTAGTTTGGATTAAGTTGTTATCAATTTAAGTGGGCCTTATCCTTGGTAGTCATCTTATCCTTATCTAAAGGATTGACTTTATCCCATATCGGGTATTCAAATGTCCCAATTCTATTCGGATTAGGACTTTTACAAGACGGGTTGGATTGATAATTCAATAGAGCCGGGACTTACGCTAGCTCAATTTTTCCTCCATCAGTAGCCCCTCAATGCAGCCCAGCTTGTGTGGTATGTGCTTCGTAACTTTCGCCAATGATTTCTTTCCTTATACACTGAAGTTGGCTCATAAGTTGAGAACTCTGCTTTGATAGCGAGTTGTTAAGCATCTGTCTTTGTTTTTAAAACTTGTGTATGGGATAGAGCTTCTAGGCACTTAACTATGCTTGTAGAGCTTATCTCCGTTGTCGAGCTGTTGGTATAAATCTTTGCCTATTAAGCTCTATTTTAACCAGTTGTTCGGCATTTTCTTTTTACCTGTAAAGCTTGGTCTCGAGTTGAGCTGTTAGACTTTTAGTCTGTTTAGCTTTGCACTCGTGAATTGGGCTTTAGCCTTGGTTCGGAGATTCAGCTCTCTATATATATATTTTGTGACTATTTTTTTTGTCACTAAAAGTACAAAAATCGTCTCCAATTGCTTTAACATGAATTTGAATTTGTTGTGCATTTATATTCGAATTTCATTTGATTTCAGAACCACCCAGTCCACCTCAAAACGCAGACTGTCGTATGCATTTAACATTTCAGTTACATTTCAAATGATATTACTCCCACAAAAATCCTCAAGACGTGCAATGTCAACACATAGAAAGTGTAAATAGATCCGTTTGAATGCACATATCAAGACATCTGGGAGAGCAACAAATTCTTTGATCAGGAGGTTCCCCCATTGTCCTTCAACATTACGAAAAGTCTTTAGTTGCACAATAATAATTAGCATCTTATAGATCCATCAATTACACGTTAATAGAAATACAGTATGACCTGAATACAATGTGAAATTAAAAATGTTACCATTGCTTAACATGAATGATTAGTAGTTTGAATTAGTATTAGATGTAGATAAGCCATTTATTGTATGAATTGTTTTACAATTTAATAAATTTTTTATTAGGATGAATATGGCGTGACCTGAAAAAGACACGAACCTGAATAATGTAACATAAACACGACATGGTTTGACCCCTACTCCTACACCCTTTGTCTTATGCAACAAAATAGATAAAACGACGGAGTCAAATTAACTCAATTCATTGGATTTCAGAAGCTCTCATTTCACCTTGAAAAACAGATTGTCGCGTGCATTTGGCAGTTCATTTGGATTTCACTCACATTTCAAGTTGGATGACTCCCACCAAAAACTTCTAGACCTGTATTGTCAGTACATAGAAAGTGGAAAACAAAAGTCTTTGAAAAGATCTATTTGGAAAAATAATTAAAGGAATCAGCCTGGAGTCTCAATTGTCCAATGTATATATCATGACAGGTAGGAGAGTAGAAAATTCTTTGATCATAAGGTCCCTCACATTGTCCTTCAACATTCGGAGAAGTCTTCAGTTGCACATTAATAAGCATCCGTCTAGGCCTGTGAATTTTACATAATAAGAGAAATACAATAAGACCTGGATATTGTTCGAACTCAAAAATGTTACACTCTCAATACAAATGACAAATAGTTTATGTTAGTATTAGACACGAATAAATCATTAATAAGTATTATTATAAGAACAAATAGGATCATATGCTATTCTTTCTACAATGCCCATAGACAAAGTGGTTTGTTTCATATCTATTTCTAACAATTTAAAGCCATAAACTTTCCATCACATGCCAATGCTATGCGGTGGGATAAAATCATAGTAGGCTTTTCACAAAAATATCAAACGACAAATATCACAATGCAATAGTTTTGGAGTTCTGGCTCTTCAACTCCATACATCTTTGTACCAAAAGACCATGAAAAATTGAATTGACATGATATCACAATGAAATAGTTATGAAATAAAGGGTGAATAACACTTTGCATTTTAAAATATTTTTAAATTATCAGTGTACATTTTTGAAAGATCAAAATTTGTAAATTACACCCTCAATCTGATAAAAGAAAGTAATGTGGTCCAAATCAGACGCTCGTTGCTTTGTCCCTCAATTTTTTTTTGTGTGGTAGTTGTTATATTTTCCTCCTCTTATACATAACTAATTAATGTATACGTATGTTGTACGTGAACCATCTCGAGTATAAAATATTGTATACTAAAACCATGTACTACTTTCTGCAAAATCCAAAACTTCAGTAAGCATTCATGTTCATCATCCGGGCACAACAAGTGCCCAAAAAAAAAGACAGGATTTGGATTTTTCATACATGATAATTGTAGTCAATTTGAGGATATAGAACCAAAAAGCAGGTCATTTTGGACACCTTTAACTTATGCAATTCCTTCACCAATTGAATGGTATTTCAAAGGATGGAAGCTTTATCCAACTGAGAGAATGGGCTGATTTACACATTAATAAATTATGTACTTTAGGTCCTTTACCAGAAAATTTCAAGAAATGTTGATATTACAAGTTTAAAACGTTGATTTACGAAAATATCGATAATGACACCATAAACCATTTGTGGAGCTTGAAATATTTTTGATAGATGTTTGGGTCATTTACATGAATCCTGTTCCGCCATTATTTTCTAGAAACTTGAAATTGATTTTGTCAAAAATAAAATAAAATTGGGGGAGAACTTAATATCATGATTTAATTTGTGTTTCAATTTATTGTTTTTCACATCCGATAATTGATTAGTGGGAATTTAGAAAATAAGAGTTTTTCTATTTTTTTTTTTTTTTTTTTGCATTTTTAGATTTGTATGCTTTAAGATTATCCTATCATTGTGCAATTTTGGCTTAATGCAGTTGGAAGTGTTATGAATGGACATGAAACTAATGCTGCTTAACTTGTTAATGGAAGTTAACGTGTTAGCTAAGAATCCTTCTAGAATCTGGCTGGACATGGGTGATGAGGGTGCAAGATGGCAGAAAATTATCTATGAAAAAGCTAAGAAGTTCTGCAAATTCTGTCAGAAGCAAGACCATGGAGAAGACGAGTGTATAAAGAGGAAAGTCCCAGATTTGCAGGCTGCTGAAGAGGTACAGAATACGGAAATGCAGGGTTTTCCACGAGATAAAGGAATGAATGATGATGGTGTATTTCAATGTGATATAATTTTGTAATGATGAGTAAATGAAAGAAACAATATTGAAATTATTGGGATCTGAGCTACTAGATTCGAGGGAATGATACTGAGAATTGTTAAAAAGTTGGAGAATTAACACAGTGAAAATATAGTGGTTCACCAGTTGGAGATTCTTACTCCTTCCTTCACTCTTTACTATACCAAAAGGTTTACAGAATGTAAGATGTGATACTAGGGTTCTCCTCCTCTGTTGGGAGCGTTACATAGTATTTATAGGGTTTTTCCTAATTCTGCGGGATCCGCCCCGAGATCTTCGCCTTTTATCTGAAGAATCCTCCTTGATCTTAGGAGCAGATCTTTCCTGGATGAAAGTTTTATGCTTCGATTATGATTCTTTGATGTCTCTAGGGTTTCTGTTGACAAATAACTATCTCTTTATTACTTCCGCTGCTACTTCGATTGGGCTGAGCTTTACTTTGGTTTTATAAGTTTTGTGCGTCTGACCTCCGCTTCCGAGCTCATATTTGGATATTGTTCTAAGTATCATCAAATGACAAAGGCAAGGGAATACAAAATTCACAGAATGGTAAGTGGATCATAGCAAATAAGGAAAGACAACAACGTAATCAAAGATATTCATCCTCAGTAAACCAAGCCCATTTGATTCAAAAAGTGCAGCAAATATGGAAACCACAGAATGTATTAACTATACAGAATAATAATGATTCTCTGGAAAATTCTGTTCCTAATTCTGAACGACATGCTGCAAAGGAGATTACTATGGCTATTTATGAACAAAACACGTTGGTTCCTCAGAAGGAAAGTGTAGATTTGAACATCCCTGTAACAACGGCAGAACTTGCTGAACAAAACAATACATCAAGTCCTTCGGACAAGGAATAGAGTGTGGATGACCAGTGTCAATTACAGAAACAGTCAACAGATCCGAAGAATTCTACTTTTTTAATTGATCACCTATATGTTTGTCTAGAAGGACCTAAAGATTCTGCTGCATATAAGTTGGTTAATTTAAATGATGAGAGAAGGAGAATGGATTTTCTATTTCTTCTGAAGATGTCTCGAACGATGGGATAGACGAATCCTCATCCTTGTTGGATTATGGTCACTATGAGCAAGATTTTGAATCCTTAACAGTGGAGGCCGGGGAGAAATCAAAATCCATTACTCCGGAAATGATGGCAGCAGTCCATAAAAATATTCATAGTCAAAGAGAGATAATTCCAAACATGTCAAGGGAGGAGATTCACAAGGCCTTGAAGCTAAGAAGAGTTTATTCAAAGGATGACTATGTTAAGAGGTCCTCTCTTCACGAGCAATCAAGGAGTTTTTACTCTGATGGGGAGGAGGCACTAGTAGTTCGTGAAAATGATTTCAATTCTTTTATGACATCTTCTAAAAGGTTACTGTCAATATGCAATAAGGTTGAGATGCAAAACAAGAGAAAATATGAGGAGTTGTTTGCTTTGGCTTTGGCACTTGATAAAGTCGAACCAATAATTATTACAAGATCAAGAACGTTCAAGTTGCCAAAGTCAAAGAAATCCTATGAATTTAGATATTATTAATTTTTTATGAGGACTCTTGCAGCTTCTACGATTCTAGCATTCAACTAGGTTATTCGAAGAAAGTTGTAGATTAATGTTCAGTTTGCAGTCATTGTTAAGACTTTATTTTGTATTTAAAGTTCTTTTATTATGTAAGGGGCAAGATTTATGTCCTCTCCTCTCTTTATAATTTTGTTATTAATAAAATTTGCCCTAAATAAGTTTAAATTAAATTAAAAAAAACAATGTTGTTTATTTCTACAGTTAGCGGCACTTAACGATGATCATAAGGTTAATTATAGAAATAGAATATTTTTTACGCCAACTTGCTTATTTTGAGGCATATAGTCTGCATATTATGTAATTAGTTACTTCTTGTACAACAATCCATATTTATAATTTAATTTCTAATATAAAACAGAGCATGCTTCAATAAGTTCATCCGACGATGTCAAATAGACTCATCCAACGGCCACCAACATCACTCTCAAATCATTCACATTGCATCATGCCTTCAGGCACAAATTATCTATAGTAATTAGATATAGGAAGCAGGTTTATGTAAATCATTCCAGCCATGGGACTCCATTACCTTTTCTTGTTGCTCTGTTCTATTTTCAAAATTTCAACATCTACCAAGGAGGCATTCTGGTAAGAAGGCTGACCACTACATAAGTTGCCATTGGTCTAGGAGAGAAGCAAGTTACCAATGTTTGATCCACAATCTCGGGCAGGGAAGGGAACCAAAATGGACCCCAGATGGTGGTTGTTGTAGGTAACCGAGCTGCATTCACATACTGGAGTGATTCGAAAAGAACGATTAGGATTATATTTTATACTTTCTACAATGGCCAAGGACAAAGTGCTTTATTCCAGATCTATAGCTTTCGGTTCAAAGCCATAAACTTTCCATCAGATGACAATGCTAATCTTTATTCTTCTTCTTGTTGAATCCAATATGATGAATCTCTCTTCCTTAGCGTCTCTTTGGTCTTAGAATCCCAGCTTCATTAATTTATCAAAAATTGAAAAGGAAAACTTATGGCAAATCAATAAGGTTGGACACGATACCATGATCAGTCAATGTTTCTTCGCATTTGAACCGCTCAAACTACCATTTGAGCAAGGACTCTTTGCGCAGACTCAAGGAATTCAAAGGATTGGAGGGGATACAGATTTGATAAAAGTCATAAGCAAGTGTTTTAGCTGCAAAAAGATTACAATCCACGCATGCACTAATACTATTAAAAAGGTACTTGCTACTTAGTTACAAATGGAAGCTTCATTAACAAAGGAACCATTTGTATCCAACAAACAGAAGTAACGTATGGTATCTGCATCACCATTCGAAACATAGTACCAAACTTGCATTGAATGCTACTCATAAGAGTAGCACTATTCAAATGAGCCTAATGAATGTTTGAATGCCTTGCAGAAATTCGACTAAAATCCTTAGTTCACATTCATCCCTCAACAAACAACTCAACTACTAATTTAATAAATAAAACAGAGAAAAACAATCACAAGCACACCAAGATTTATATTGAAAAATTCTCCATTTTACAAAGAAACAACCATGGGGCAAACTTCAAATCAATCCACTATAATTGACAAGTTACAGTGCTTTATTAATCTCAAGATTGTGCCTAAATCTTGAGACCAATACAACTCCAATGCACTCCAAGCTGAGATATGAAGATAGATTACAATAAAGATGGCCATAGTATTCCACCACAAGCATCACTGCATTACAAGAGCAATAACAACATGCATACCATTGCTCCTGCTACAAATTTTATTTCATCCATAAGCCAAGGCTGCCTGAAGAAATCTTCATCTTTGCACCTTATTCCTAACAAAATTGTCAAACGTTGAATATAAGAAAATATAATCGCAAAGATGAACACAAACAAATGGGGAACACATTGGTAATTTCATATACTAACCAACAGATTAGGAAGACCCATTTATTTTTTTATAAAAAAAATAAAATATTAGAAGGAAGCAGTGCTAATATAGGAAAAATAATATTGCTACCACCGATGAGCAAATTTACAAACTTGTAGTCTCTTTCAACTGAATCTCCGTCAATGCTCTTGCTCTCCATGTCCGATCATTCATAATGTATGGGACACCCATTTATATATGGTGAGTCTCACTAAAAATCCACTATCAATGAAAATCAAGAAAAATGTTCATGGTAGGTGATATGAATCTCTTTCTCTTTACTTTCCGACTAAAAGTATGAATCAGTTTTTGGTTGGAGATGCATGTGCTTGGAATTGAAGAACAAGAAATTTTAAAAATGTGACCCACAATAGAGAATATTTTTAGCATAATGTCATGGGATAAAATCAAAGTAGATGTTCATAATTATTTTCGAATTAAGAAGGGGTGGGTAATATAGTGTCTTACCGTCTTGCAATAGATTCAAGACAAGTTTTTGAATTGCAATGTCTTAGACGCTGATTTGTAATAATGATGGATATTAGGGATATGTCGAACTTTTGAACGACCCACACTCTGTTCACCATGTATCTGATGGATGAGCTCACTTGAAACGGTAGCCAAGTCCAATGTTTGGAGATTCGTGAGATATTCAATGCCATGAGGCAATGTCTTCAACTCCATACATCCTTGTACAATAAGTCGTTCGAGATCTGGCATCACTCCCCTCTCTATTGTTATCTCTTTCAGTTGCGGGAGATTGGCTAAATATAAAACCTTCAGCTTTTGGAACCCAGCATCAAACAGTAACTCTTTTCCAGAATATGCATTGTCAAGTTCAAGAATTCCTAAACAAGGCAGCGCTTGGATGAAAGGAAAAACATCTTGTGTCAGTCTAGACCAATACAACCGCAAATACACGAGGCTTCGAAGTGATTGAAACCAGTGTGGCACCGTCTCTAATTTCCCTGCTAATAGCATGGATTTAAGGCAAGGAGGAGCTGAAGGGAGCGCATCTAATCGCAAGGATTCCGCCTCATCACTAACCATCACATATAACCGACGAAGGAGATTCATATTTTGGATTGCGGTGCACAAGTCTTTCTCATCTGCTTCTCTTACCTTGTAATGCTAAACCTTGTAAGCTGTGTCATGCTCCTGATGCGTCTCATTAAATCTGATTCTGCTTCAACACAACTCAGGACTTGCAAGTTCTTTAACTTGTAAATATTTGGCGGGGTTCGTATTCCAAAATAATATTCAAAAACTTCAGTTCCATGAGGGGAGGAACGGAACATCACTAGATAACGCAAGTTCTTCAAATTTGTTATTCCTGTTGGAAGCACTTCTATTCTTGTATGGGCAACGTCTAGTGTTTGTAGATTGGAGAGCCTTCCAATTGATTTTGGAAGCTCCTTCACATTAGTCGCCTTTAGGCTTAAATATCGCAAATTGAACAGAACCCCTAATTCGTCTGGCAATTTCTTAATTGGTGCACGTTGTAGATCCAATACCCTTAACAATCTTAAGCCAGTTGGCAATGTTACCAACGACGGAGAAATCCTATAATCAATGAACACAAGAAGCGAGCGGAGCTTTGACATGCCATTTAATGATTTTATTTGCTCTGTTATTGTTTGGATCGACAAGCGACGTGCTCCACTTTCTTTACTTGCTTCTTCATCATCATACAGAGCACCAAAATTCTCGGCCGCCGCTATTGAAAGAGCAATTTCCCGTAAAAGATCATGCAGCTTGCATCTTTTTGGCCTTCCTGAGGGGTTCCTCCTCACAACTTGAAGCATGTTTCGGTGAATGAGTTCCATGAGATAGCTGTCTGCCACTTCTTCTGGTGTTATTCCCTTCACTTTTTCGACAAACCTGTCTGCCATCCAAAGTCTAATAAGCCTCTTTCTCTTTAACACATAATCTTCCGGAAATAGACAACAATATAAGAAGCAATGCTTCAGATTGTATGGCAATTCATTGAAGCTAATTAACAAGATAAGCTTCATCTTTTGCAGCGAGGGGTTGTTCCTCAACTCGAAATCCAGGCTATTATTAACCTTTTGCCACTCTGATACTAGTTTCTTCGATGACATGGCACTACCCAAAGCCACAAGAGCAAGAGGCAGTCCTTCACATTTGTCGACGAGCTTTCTAGCCAAGATTTGAAGCTCTTGAGGACAAAGCCTACCCAGATTGTTGGAGAATGCTTTCAAGCTAAAGAGCTCCCAGGCCTCTTTCTCTCCCAGTGGTTTTACATGGTGAACATGGCTTTTGACTCCGAAAGATGATGAAGCTATATTTTCATTTCGCGTTGTAAGAATTACCCGACTTCCACATCCTTCATCTGGGAGAGATACATTGATTTCCTCCCAGAGCTTACTGCTCCACACATCATCCAAGATAATTAAGTATCTTTTCGCCCCTAAATAGCTCAGCAATGTACTGACCAACTCTCTGAACCCCATCGTGTTTAAATTTGTAGGAACTGTTTCCTTGGCAGCGCCATAGAATTCCTCAATCATTCTTCTCAGTAAATCATCAACAACATATTTTTGGGAGACAGTGATCCACGCATGACAATCAAAATGCCGTTTTACTATTAGGCTATTGAAGGCCTTGGAGACTAGAGTGGTCTTGCCCGAACCACCCATTCCCACCACTGAAATTACAGTACTGCATTGTTGTTCTTCCTCCGTCAACCATTTGACTAGAAGTTTATTATCATCCTCTATCCCCACCAATTTGTCCTCCTTGATAAAGAAAGATGACTCTGCATAATTAAACAAAGTTTTTTGATCCTCAACAGAGCTTGTTCCTTCTATTCGTTCAATTGCAAATCGTTTTCTTCTTTCGTCAATGGATTTGATCTTTCTATTAATCTTTTGTAACTTTATGGCGATTTGATGCCTCGCCCATAGATTCTTTGGAAGGCGAATTGTCTGGTAAAGAAGACTTGTGAATTTGCCCCCATTATGTTGCTTGTTCACGTGATACATGAACTCATCTATGGCATCTTCAACCTCATGAGCTAGGTCTCTAATGCTACCCACCCAAGCCCTCTCTCCTTGAGTGAGGACTCCTCCCTTTTTATCAGCATCCTCTAGGAAAGATCTCATGCTTATAAACTCAAGCTTGATTTCATGAAGTTCATCACGGAGCCCCCCGATTAACGACGCTTCGTTCTCAATGGCCGACGTTAACTTGCGTATCAAGTAATCCGCGGCAGCCTGTGCCATGATTGCTCCCATATTGCTGCCCTTCCAAGCACCCTGCTAACTCGTTGATTGTTATTTGTTTGTGATTATCGCTTACCAGCAAAGAAAAATTGAACATATTCGTTATTGGAACCTCATGAGTAGTGGTCATAGGACTCTTCTGAAAAGCCTATGATGAAGACACGTGTCCTCGGGGTTTCTAGAACAATGTTACTCGGGTTCAAGAACCATCGGCAAAAGGCGTCCTCTCCCCCGAGGTACCTCTCATATAGGATCACATATTCGGTGCATTATACAACGACACGTGTCCTCGGTCACTGTGTATCTCGGAACGTACCACCCTCGGTCCCCGAGGTGAGCCTTTCCTCGGTGCCGAGGGTCACTCCATCCTAGACGCTTCCTCTACTCCCGGATAAAGCTACTGACGTACGGGACATCAGCCTATGCCAGTCTAGACTATTCATCATAACCTCGTCTTAACACAAGTAATGTCAGAACACGCTGGAATACCGACGTCACAGCCAATAAGGGATGGACGCGTGGCAAATAATGTCACATCAGAAGCAGACAAACCGCATGCCGTCGCTGACACGCGACTTGGGAAAGCAAACAAATTAATTGCACCCTTCTGTTGACGAGACCGCATTCAATGCGGTAAGGTTCGGATATGAAAGGCAATAAATGCTCCTATTACAGAGCATTTATTGCATCCTTCCCGAAAGGATCATATTGTACCGTCGGCGTCCCGACGGCTCAGAATTGATTGCTCGGGACCCCGAGCAATCAATTAGAGAAGACATTCTTCATCAAATCAATACACACGCTACCTGTGCCTGATGATCACCACTGACAGCAATCATGAGCTTCTAAGGTATAAATACTCCTCCCAAAAAGGCAAAGGGGTATGCAATCACAAACTCACTACTACAAAATATCCTGATCAGTGTTTTCTCCTTCCTCTCTCTCATTCAAAGACTGACTAGACCGTCGGAGGGGATACGCCGGAAAACACTCCGGCGCCCTTCTAACTTGTTCTCCTTTGTTCTAGGAAATACCTTTCACACGTACAGGATCGTTCTTCCTTTCCCAGGATCTTCCTTTGCCGTTCCAGGTTGCCACCGTTCCTTGTAGGCCGTTTCAAGCAGTGTGTTTGGCCACTCAACCGGCTCACTCAAAGTTCACCAGGGGAGAGAGTTGTTCCCAATATTTTTTATATTGTGCAGGATCTTGCACGCATAATCTGGCGCCGTCTGTGGGAAACGAGTAGTTTTCCTAATCTTTTCTCTATAAAGAACAGTGACCATGGTGAACACCAGACAGAAAGGGAAGGGACCCTACCAAAGGAGTCATGAGTTGCAAGCTCCCTGCCATCACGGGGGGAGGGATCGGACCAGTACGATTAAAAGTGCCTCTACTCGGTCAAGGGGGGTAACCCCCCAAACCAGTATGGGGATCAGGTCAGGAGGATCAGCCCCCTTGGCCCGTCAATTGGCAGAGGTGATAGAAGAGAAATTTGGCGATAGATTACGTCAACTGGAGAAAGACAATGTAAACGTCCTTAGCCGGCTCGACGAGTTTGCTGCCTCAGGCGGAGGGTCGAGGGATTCATTCCTCTCCCGAGGACTCCCCGTCCATGAGGCGGAGACAAAAGATCTAAGGAACCACCTGGATCACAAAGCAGAAAGCTCCAGGGCCCCGAAGCGACCCAAAGCCGGCGAATGCCATCTTGACAACCATTCCAGGAAAGCAAGGCCATTGGCCCTAGACGACCTCCGGCGAGGTTTATCCAGACGGAGGAAGGGAGATGAATCCGAGGAGGACTCAACCCAATCTACACGACGCCCAGGAAACGAGGGGCTTACCGACGAACCCAGAGACTTCAGGAGGCATCCCGTAAGGGAAGAAGTAGATCTCAGAGCCCGATTAGACTCCAGAAGAAAGGGCAAGACGATCCAGGACGAGGCCGAGGACGAAGTCATGCAAACACCCTTCACGAGGGAAATCAGTGAGATGGATGTCTCAAGAAAGTTCGTCGTGCCACGGTTCAAGACCTATGATGGGCGATCTGATCCCGATGCCCATATCAGACAGTATAAGCAGATGATGTCCCTCTATCATTCGGACCAACGGTTTCTATGCCGGGTGTTCCCTATGAGCTTGGGGGACTCTGCGATGAGGTGGTTCGAGGCGCTTCCCCCAAACAGTATTGGGTCCTGGAAAGAATTGACAAGGCAGTTCCTAACCCGATTCATCACGGGGAGTAAGCGCCCCAAGGACATTGGATCACTGCTGACCCTCAGGAGGAGGGAATCCGAGACTCTTCGCCAGTACGCCATCCGATACTGGGAAGAAGTCAATGAGGTCGAGGGATGCTCGGAGGTCATGGCAGCAGCATCCTTCCGGCTCGGCTTGGCAAGGGACACGGACCTGTACCGATCCCTGACCAAAAAGACTCCCTCGGACATGGGGGAACTGATGGCCCGGATCAACAAGTACTCAAGGGTCGAGGACGAGATGGGGAGCAACAAAGGCCGAGCCCTCCAACCCAAGAGAAAGGAAAAAGAGCGCGAAGATATTCCCCGGAAAAGATTGCTACCCCATCCAGGGGGTTCGTCCAGAGGAGTTCACACCGTCTTCAAGGAACCCATCTTCAGGTTGCTCCATAAAATCAAACACGAGCCGTTCTTCAAATGGCCGCCCAGGATGCAAAGCGACCCCTCCACCCGTGATCAAAAAGTAAGGTGTTCATATCACCGGGACGTCGGGCATCGCACCGAGAGCTGCAGGGTGTTCAAGTCATTCTTGGAGAGCTTAGTCCGAGATGGATACCTGAAAGAATACATAGAGCCTAGGCCAGAAGAGAAACGAGCCCTTGCCCCGACCGAGGAACCGAACAACGTCATAGACGTCATCCATGTGTGTCCACTGGAGCGCCCCACGTCCAAAGAGCTCGAATCCGACCTCAAGAGGGTAGCTTTTACCAGAAAGGTAGCCGAAGGAGATGTGGGGCCATCAAGTAAAAGGGCCAGGATGGGTGAGCTTGGCATTACGTTCTCTGACGCGGATTTGACGGGCGTGGTGATTCCTCATAACGACGCCCTTGTCTTAACCCTAAAGATAGGGAAATTCGATGTCAAGAGAATCTTGATAGATTCAGGGAGTTCCTCGGAGGTGATGTACTTCGAGACTTTGAAGCGGATGGGCTTTGGCCCCAAAGACTTAACCAAAATCAGGACACCCCTCATCGGGTTCAACGGCTCTTTCGCCTTGCCCGTGGGGAAAATTACATTACCGGTCACCACTGGTCCCTTCGTCATCGACACAGAGTTTGTGGTGATCGACACGGACTCTCCTTACAACGTGATTATGGGGCGAACATGGCTGCACGCGTTGGGAGCGGTGCACTCCACTCTCCACCAGAAGTTGAAGTTCGCCACGCCAGAGGGCGTCATGGAGATTCGGGGGGATCAAGCGTCTGCGAAGAACTGTTTTTATTCGGCCGTCCGAGCCGGGGCGTCCAGCCAGGAGAAGGGGCGAGCACCGGAAGAGATCATAGAAAAATAGCAATTACAGTCCGGGCGTCCGGGGATGGATGACCCCCGGGTGGACCCAGCTGAACGATCGGTTGAAGACCTCCGGAAGGTGCCCTTGGTAGAAGGGGAAGAAGAGAAGTATTTCCTAGTTGGGACCTCGATGCCCGCAGCCGAACAGGAGGAGATGATCAGGTTCTTAAGAGGGAATACAGACGTGTTCGCCTGGAACGAAATGGAAATGACAGGAGTAGACCCCGAGATAATTACTCACAGGCTGCATGTTGACCCATCTCATAAGCCAGTAAAGCAGAGGCCACGACGTATGGCCCCGCATCACACCAACGCGGTCAATGAGGAAATAGACAAACTCCTAAGAGCCGACGCCATTCGAGAGATACAGTTCCCAGAATGGCTGTCCAATACAGTATGTGCAAAAAAGAAAGGGGGGAAATGGCGTGTCTGCGTGGATTTCACAGATCTAAACAAGGCATGTCCCAAGGACGACTACCCCCTGCCGAAGGTGGACCAGCTGGTAGATGCCACAGCCGGATATGAACGAATGGACTTCCTGGATGCTCGAGCAGGATATCATCAGATCCCTCTTTATGCCCCGGACCAAGAAAAAACGGCGTTTATCACTCCGAAGGGAGTTTACTGTTATAAAGTGATGCCATTTGGATTGAAGAACGCCGGGGCAACATACCAAAGATTGATGAATCGGATGTTCAAGATGCAGATTGGCAACACCATGGAGGTCTACATAGACGACATGCTAGTAAAAAGCAAACGGAGTGGTGATCATCTTACAGACTTGGCGGATACCTTCTCCACTCTCAGGGAGTATGGGTTGAAGCTGAATGCAGCGAAGTGCGTCTTCGGAGTAGAGTCGGGAAAATTCCTCGGGTATCTGGTTAGTCAGCGGGGAATCGAAGCCAACCCAGATCAGATTAAAGCAATCCTGGATATCCGAAGCCCTCGCACTGTCCGAGAAGTCCAGAAACTCACAGGGATGCTGGCTGCACTTAACCGATTTGTCTCACACTCCTCGGATAAATGCAAACCTTCTTTGGAGCAATCAAATGCGCTGGTAAGAGTATGTGGAGCCAGGGGTGCGAGGACGCCCTGGCTGGGATCAAAGAATACCTGAGGACTCTTCCGACCCTATCCGTCCCCATACAGGGGGAGATGCTGTTCCTATACCTGGCAGTTTCAGAATTTGCAGTAAGCGGAGTACTTATCCGTGAGCATGAGCACCGACAGAAGCCGATTTACTACATCAGCAAGGCGCTCCTGGATGCAGAGACAAGATATCTGCCCCTAGAGAAACTGGCCCTGTCCTTGGTCACCACTGCAAGAAAACTGCACCATTACTTCCAGGCGCACCCAATCACTGTCCTAACTGATCAGCCCTTGAAGGCAATTTTGAGGAAAGCTGAACTCTCCGGAAGAATCTCCAAATGGGCTGTAGAGTTGGGGGAGCACGACATTCATTTCAAACCCCGAACTGCAATAAAGGGCCAAATACTGACAGACTTCATAGCCGAGTTTTCGGGGGAGAATCCTGTTCTAGAAGGATCGCCTCC